GGGGGGGGGGGGAGTGCGAGCTCCTAAAGGGTTCTATGAAAAGGAAAATTTCAAAAGTATCAAGCAACAAACGTTACACAGGAAGCCAAAAACTAGAAGTAACAGGATCAAGAAGATCAGGAGAGAAAATTATTGTTCAAATCATGGGTTCAAATGATGGCAACAAACTTTTTCAAAACCTATACCAATGCATCTAACTTTATCAAGCCACATCTGTTTAAAAACCACATTTTGGATAATACATGAACTGCCGCAATATTATCAGTAATCCTGGCAGAAGACATAATTATATTGCTTAACTGGCCACAAGCAGTACACTTTCCTAGCAGAACTTTGCAGTTTCAGAAAGCAACCCAAAAAAAGAAAAAAAGAAAGAAAGCAACCAAAAAATATTCTACCAAAATTTGAAAGTTTTTTGATGAGCTTAATTTCAGTCCAATTAACAAGTGTCAGCACATGGCACGTTAACAATCGGATTAAATTAATCTCCCTAGAGGCAGGCTAATTCGGGGGTTAGCACTTTTAGAATCTGTCTGAACAACTGGGTGCAGGTGTTCACAAACCAACTGGTGAGCTCCCTCTTCACCCACCTACTAACAAATATGACAAGGCCTTTGTGCGGTACTGTTTTTCTGGATTTTTTTAGAGCAATGTATATAAGGGACACTGATATGTAAAGCAGTTAACACTGTAGGTTGAAAAATAATATATCCTCTACAGTAAATAGGTTACCAACATCATTCATCACAGAAAGCTAGGAACAAGTCAAAGAAACTACCGTACTGCAAGTGTAACAGCATGCTACATGCATCCTACTCTTTCAGAATGTAATTGTAGAAAGAAAAAAAATTGGTATTAACAATCCTGCATAGCAACTCATACATTATAGGCAGTCAATAAACTAGACAATGGGGCTGGGGAGATAGTTCAGTGGCATAAGCGCCTGCCTGGCAAGTGTAAGGTCCTGAGTTCTATTCCCAGTGCCACAAAAAATAAATAAATAAATAAATAAATAAATAAGACAACGCTTTTTCTAGCTCTGCACTAAACATGAGTGGCACTATTCAGTGTTTTTCCCTTTTGTATAAACAAGTCAAACCATTCTGGAGTATCTCATAAAATGTTCAAAGAATAATTATCATTACACTAGTTTGTGATTTATCTTACAATAAATTTGTTTAGAAATTTTCTTTTATGCTGTTCAGACTTTTCAACCATAAAACATACATGGAATCTGTACGAAGAATTCAACATACAAAGCTTTATGACATTCAAGAAGGTGTGATCACAAAATGAAATGTTCACTATAGCAATCTTTTTACATGGGGGGGGGGTGCTAGGACCCAAACTCAGTGCCTCAAGCATGCTAGGCAAACACTACACTGAGTGATATCCCTAGCCCAAAGTTCTAGTTTTATTTTTTTTAGACATAGGGTCTCACTACATTGCTTTCTCTGGCTGGCCTCAACCCGGGTTCAAGGGGGGATTCTTGGCATCAGACTCCACAGAACCTAGGACTACAGGAATGTACCACCTGGTCCTGATTTTTTAAAATAACTTTCTAGCGTCCATAGAAGGAAAAAAAAAAAAAAAAAGCTTTGTAATAACCAAGTCAATCTGAAAAAAATTCGTCATCCCAAAACCAAACTACATCCCAGGAGAACTGCACAGGGAATGAAATTCAAAATCTAAGATAGTCAACTGAGAATAAATCCATTCCTTATGGAGTTCAATCCCAGACACATAATATGCTTGTCAAACGTAACTGCCTACAACACATTAGCACAGTTCACAAATGATCAGCCTGTTTACAAAGAAAACAAAATGTGCTGTAAATGAAAGACTACACAAAAATAATCATGACTATCACCAAATGCAACAAATGATCCTAGCAAAAGAAACCTTTGTAAACAGGGTAACTTTCATAGCATTACACTGAGCAATGAATGACACAGAAACACAAAACATGATAATGTTTATATTTTTAATATCAAGTTTTCCACTTTGTCATTAGAGACTTAAATTTACTAAAACTATTCATCCATGTACTTGAGTAACCATGAAACACGTTCAGAGACTGAGAACACAGTTCACTGGGAGAGTGCTTGCCCAAAGGTGCCTGAAGCCTTACTTGTCTCCCAGTGTGGGGCAAAAGAGCATTCTTATCTGCATGCTATGCCAGCAGTTATCACTTAAAACATTTGTACACTTACATACACAAGTAATTTCCAAGTGGGATTACAAAAGAAATTATTCCAATGGCTAAATGGCTGGCAACTGACTCCAATACTCAAATTCATTCCCTAAAAAATATTTCAACAGGGCTATAAACAGCTCTCCAAACCACTGATTATGACAAGTTTATACTGTTCTATAAATGGAATGGTTTATAAGAAAATTTAGTAAATTTGTTTGGAATTCCACTGAGAACAATAGCCAGTTTTCTGAGCTTACTGTCCTACACAAACGAAAAGCACAAACAGCATGACCACAGGGTTGCAAGACTGTGTATTAAAACTGAAAAACTTTCAGGCATTTAAACCAGGCTTTCAACGCCCTGGTGACATTTAATACCAGACAATTCTTTATTGCCAGGGTGTCCTGTTATCACACAACGGGTCCATCTCTGACCTCTAACCACTAGTTGCCACCTCCCCCGGTGTGTGAACCAAAAAAAAAAGTCTCCAGACACTGCCAAATGTTCCCCATGGGGCCAATGGTGGTCTAGGAGTCTAACAAACTTAGCACAGTGCTTCCGTTGTCAATCTAGAGTGTGTTCTGCAACACCAAGAAGTTCCAAAAAACTTCAGGCACTCGAAATGCCTACTTCATATGAAACTTTCCACGATCCCACAAAATAACCGAAACCGTGCTCCTGCAGATAGCCGATTCTCCCACAAGTCCATGATTAAACATCCTGCTCGCCGATGATGAATCTGGGACAGGCAGGGACAGGAGCCAACGATGACTAGTTTTATAGTGTCAATGAACTACACCTTTTTTAACCCTTTAGTGGACTAATCATTCCGGCCTGAGCAACCTTTTCTTCGTAAGCGAATTTTTCTGACGCCTCTGAGATGCTGTTAGCTTTCGTACTCTCAGCCTCTCACAGCCCTGAGGTCAACGCACCCAAGGGTCACAGACACGTCGCACTACCCAGGCCAGCCCGTCCCTGCCACATTCTCTCGGGGCCCTGCTCTAGTCTGACGATCCCCAGTCCGGGTCAGCTCTTGACCCCTGAACCCGGCGTGACCCCGCCGCCCCCCAGCCCCGGTACCTGAAGTAGTAGACATCGCTCTTGCCGGCACTGAGCCCAGATTTTCGGATCACTTCCTCCTTCTTCCATCCGGGGGGTAGGGCCGGGCAGTCCATCCTCTTCCCGCTCTCCGTGGCCCGGGGTCCCCTGGGCCCCGGCCCCGCGCTCCCCGACGGGAAAGGGACCGGCTCCCGCCGGGGGGCGCCGCCGCCACCGCTGCCGACGCCGCTACCGCCGCCG